TTAGCTTGTACTCTGATATTATAGGAAGTACTGGGCTGTAGGCCGGTAACATCACACCATAGAGCACCATCATCATCATTAGCTGCTACTTGGCATAGTTCATTACCATCATCATCAATAACACGATAAGCAGTTACTGGTAGATCACATTGAGGGTTATTATTGGCTTTACTCCAACTTACACTTACACCATCAGAGAAAGGCGTCTGCAACATAACATTACTCGGAGGATCGGCTTCACAACTCTCAGTTGTCGCAGTTGATACTCCATCTGATTTTGGACTATCACCTTGAGAGTTCTTAGCCACAATATAGAATGTATAATCGCTACCACGACTAAGCCCCGTTACAGTGTATGATGTATCATGACCATCAACTGTATAGGTATTATCACCCTCACTGATGATATACCTCAATATCATAGCACCGTTGTCAGCAGGGGCTGTCCAGTTCAATGATGCCGAATTAGACGTAGTCGACTGCACAGCAAGATCTGATACCTACAGCACAGACCAATGAATATAGAAAAGTGGACTTCCACACCAACCTTATCAGGCACTGATGCATTGGGCTTATCTGCGATCATTGAGTACGGCTTGCTGTATACACTATCACCGGCAGAGTTCTCAGAAGATGCACGAAGTATCACAACTTGACCCGATGAAAGACCATCAACAGTATAGGGCTGAAGAAGGGAGGAATCCAATGAAGACATCTGAGAGGAAAGCATCTCACCTTAGAAGCATCATCCTGTGATATCTCAGCCTTAGTCCAGCTACTATCAGGAGTGGTATCATTAACATTATTCACCAAAGCATGCTGTATAACATAACCAGTTATATCAGCACCATTAGTGGCAGTGGGAGGTACAATACTAACTGATACACTACTAGTAGATGTATCGAATGCCATTAAACCTACAATAGAGAAGTGATGATGACATCACATGATGAGGAGGAGGAGGAGATGATCTTACCAGGAGCACTCGGGGCGGTAGGGTTCTTAGTGCCTTCCATTACGGCAACTGATGGGCTACTAACACGACCATCTTCCATCTCGATCTTATAACGGATAAGGAGCTGTTCACCAGCAGTTAATCCAGTAAGAGTAGCAGTAGTGGCATGGTCCTTATCATAGGGAACCTCCAATGATACAGTCCATGGACCATCAGAACGTAGACGTCTTCCACCTCCACTACCACCAGTGGCAACTTGAGTTTCGATAAGGTAATCCTTTGGATCATAAGCTGATGCTGCTGCAATAGGACTAATAGTAATGCTGAGGTTAGTATAACCAGATACAACAGTCGGGTATTGTAGTTCACCAAGATCGATAGTATTAGAAGTACTGTTATTACTCGATCCACCAATAATACCCATACAATAGAGTACAAGGAAGAATATACCAATACCAACAGCAATACCAATAATGAACATAATAAAGTAACGAATAAAACAGAAGAATGCTCCTTTGTATTTATCCCAGAAACTCCTCTTCTCCCATTCTTCTCTCTCTTCATCTGTCATCTCATGTGGAGGTCGACAACAGAATATCATACAAACCCAATAACAGAAGGATTCCCACTTGGTACGGCTCTTCTCCAGAGTATCGAGCTTGCTAGTACTAGCATCTGGTGAGGTCTCCAGCAACTCTGCTGCCTTTGGGGACGAAGCTTC